CTCTCTCTCTCTCTCTCTCTCTCTCTCTCTATCCTTGATACAGGTTGTAATTAACGATGGAAGACTCGATCGCACGGGCATTAAATAATAATTTATCAGCTTGGTCGATCGTAGTTTTATCACAGCGTTGAATCGATCGGCATTATTTTCACACATTCACAATATTTTCAACGAGTCGTTTCATTTACAGATGCATGTGCACGAGCGGATACACTGGCCAAAATTGCGAGAACGAGTATATTCCCTGCAACCCATCGCCGTGTAAAAATGGCGGCACGTGTCACCAGACCGACGATTTGGATTACGAGTGCATCTGTCCCGAGGGTGAGTTTTGAAATTGTTTCTCGGTTTCAATTATTTATGGTCCCGGTGATTCTCGGCTATAGAGAGGGTGTCGATGATTCAGCTTATATATTTACGAATTCTGTAAAACGCCTCCCTTGCGAATAATTGCATCGTTACAAAATATTTTTTTTTTCGAATTTAACAATTGCTCCAAAACGAATCAAAATTATCGACACTTTTTATTTCTCGAAATAAAGTCGGACTATAAAAAGCCTATATACGAAATGGTTTGAAATACGATATCTTTTCCACGTTTCTAATTACTTCATAAAGCAGAAGGAAATATCGTAACATATATATATATATATATATTACTACACGATCCTTCTCGAATCAGAATTTTTATCGAGTTTTAAATCAAAATCTCCGTGAGCCATCATTCCTTTTTAACTTATAATAACGCGGAAGTGCCCTTTAATTTCCACCGAGTTCCCACAACACATGGGAAATTATCCCCCCCTCCGTACACAAACTTTTCCTCGCTTATCTACGAAACATCTAAACTACTACCTTACTTATCTAATAATCAAAAACGAAGAAAAAAACCTCGACACCTCGCTTAAACTCCTCGCATCGCACACTTTCCCATAAGACGATTCTTGCGACAAATTCTCCTTCCCCTCTTTCCCCCTCAACCTCCCCCGCGATCCTCGAATCCGTTTTTTCGATGTCATTCTCACGAATTGAAAAGATCGACACCGACTTCTCCTTGAACTTTTCGTTTTTGGCGAAGAATCTCGTGGAATGCAGTTGTGGGAAGGGAAACCCTCCTCTCCCCCTCCCCTCTTAGCGGGATTACTTTTCGCCATTTCGGTGGTGGTACCCTATCCCTCCTCTCGAAGAAGCCGCGTTCCACGTTCCACTCTGTTTACGATGACAAGAAAGTCCCTCCTTTGGCCCCGTTGCGCAACCTTGTCCCGGGAATAACAGCGGCAAACAGGGAGAGAGGGAGGGGGGGATGTGCGTGGAAAAAGAAAGGGAGACAAAAGAGCGCGTCC